CACAGTAAAAGTACACAACAGTAACACACAGTAACAGTACCACACAGTAACAGTACACACAGTAACAAGTACCACACAGTAAAAGAATAAACAAATAAGAATGAACAAGTACAGTAAACAGCAACAAGTAACAGTAAGGTAACAGTAAACTATAACAAGTAACAGCAAATAAACAGTAAGCAGTAACAGTAAAAGTAACAAGTACGCAACAAGTAACAGTAACAGTAAACAGTAACAGTACCAGTAAATGTAACAAGTAACAGTAAACAGCAAAGTAACAGTAAGTAACAGTAAACAGTAAACAAGTAACAGCAATAAGTAACAGTAAGCAGTAACAGTAAACAGTAACAAGTAACAGTAACAGTAATAGTACAGTAAAGGTAAGTAAGAAAATAAACAGTAACAGCAATAAGTAACAGTAAGTAGCACAGTGAAACAGTAACAAGCAACAGCAATAAGTAACAGTAAACAGTAACATAAACAGTAACAAGTAACAGTAACAGTAACAAGTAACAGTAAACAGTAACAAGTAACAGTAATAAGTAATAAAAACAGTAATAAGTAACAGTAAAACAGTAACAGTAACAGCAACAAGTAACAGTAAGCAGTAACAGTAAACAGTAACAAGTAACAGCAACAAGTAACAGTAAGCAGTAACAGTAAACAGTAACAAGTATATAACATAACAGTAAATAGTAAACAGTAACAAGTAACAGTAAAGGTATATAAGCAAATAAAAGTAAGTAGTAACAGTAAACAGTAACAAGTAACAGCAAATAAGTAACTAGTAAGCAGTAACAGTAAACAGTAACAAGTAATACAGCAACAGTAATAGTAAATGTAATAACAGTAAACAGTAACAGTAACAAGCAACAAGTAACAGTAAGCAGTAACAGTAAACAGTAACAAGCAACAGCAACAAGTAACAGTAAACAGTAACAGTAAACAGTAACAAGTAACAGTAACAGTAACAAGTAACAGTAAACAGTAACAAGTAAATAACAAGTAACAGTAAACAGTAACAAGTAACAGTAACAAGTAACAGTAAACAGTAAATAAGTAACAGTAACAAGTAACAGTAAACAGCAACAAGTAACAGTAAGCAGTAACAAGTAACAGTAAACAGTGACGATGAAGTTAAAAGCTAGCATACACACACCGCCACCTACTGCCACCAGCAGTCCCCCACCCACCTGAGCAGTCCACCACTACAACAAAATTCAGCCCATAAGAGCCCACCGATAGTATAAGAACAGCACCATCCCATCTATATTACAACTGATTTATGTACTGTACAGCCCTGTAAATGTATTCAATGCATATTATATCATTATGTCTAAATCAAATGTAAGTCTGCATATTGTGAGCCACCGACTGCAATGCTATTAATAAACCGTTTATTATTATTATTATTATCATTATTATTATTATTATTATTACACACATTCCCTTAAGTACAATGACTTAACCCTTGAGTATGATGACTTATCCTTGAATAGGACGACTTAACCCTTGAGTACAATGACTTAATCCTTGAGTACGATAACTTAACCCTTGTGTACGATGACTTATCCTGAATATGACGACTTAACCCCTGAGTACAAAGATTTAATCCTTGAGTACGATAACTTAACCCTTGAGTACGATGACTTAACCCTTGAGTACGATGACTTAACCCTTGAGTACAATGACTTAACCCTTGAGTACGATGACTTAACCCTTGAATATGACGACTTAACCCTTGAGTACAATGACTTAACCCTTGATCACGAAAACTTAACCCTTGAGTACGATGACTTAACCTTGAGTACGATGACTTAACCCTTGAATATGACGACTAGGCCTTTGAGTACAATGACTTAACCTTGATCACGAAAACTTAACCCTTGGTACGATGACTTAACCCTTGAGTACGATGACTTATCCTCGAGTACAATGACTTAGCCCTGATCACGAAAACTTAACCTTGAGTACGATGACTTAACCCTTGAGTAACACTAACCCTGAGTACGATGACTTAACCCTTGAGTACAATGACTTAACCCTTGATCACGAAAACTTAACCCTGAGTACGATGACTAACCCTGAGTACGATGTATTTAACCCTTGAGTACAATGACTAACCCTTGATCACGAAAACTTAACCCTGATCACGAAAACTTAACCCTAGTACGATGACTTAACCCTGAGTACGATGATTAACCCTTGAGTACGATGACTTAACCCTTGAGTACAATGACTTAACCCTTGATCACGAAAAACTTAACCCTTGACCACGAAAACTTAACCCTTGAATATGACGACTTAACCCTTGGGTACAATGACTTAACCCTTTGAGTATGATGACTCAACCCTAGAGCAATGACTTACCCCTTGAGTACAATGACTTAACCCTTGAGTAATGATGACTTAACCTTGAGTACGATGACTTAACCCTTGAGTACGATGACTTAACCCTGAGTATGATGACTTAACCCTGAATATATGACGAACTTAACTTGAGTACGATGATTAACCCTTGAGTACGATAACTTAACCCTGAGTACAATGATTCTAACTTAATATGACGACTTAACCCTTGAGTACGATGACTTAACCCTTGAGTACGATGACTTAACCCTTGAGTACGATGACTTAACTGGTATGATGACTTAACAATTGAGAACGATGACTTAACCCTTGAGTACGATGACTTAACCCTGAGTACAATGACTTAACCCTTGAGTACAATGACTTAGCCCTTGAGTACGATGACTTAGCCCTTGTACGATGACTTAACCCTTGAGTATGACATAACCCTGAGTGATGACTTAACCCTTGAGTACAATGACAACCCTGAGTACGATGACTTAACCCTGAGTACAATGACTTAACCCTTGAGTACAATGATCAACCCTGAGTCGATGATTAACTAGGATGACTTAACAATTGAGAACGATGACTTAACCCTTGAGTACGATGACTTAACCCTTGAGTACAATGACTTAGCCCTTGAGTACGATGACTTAACCTTGAGTACGATGACTTAGCCCTTGAGTACAATGACTTAACCTTGGTGCAATGACTTAGCCCTTGAGTACGATGACTTAGCCCTTGAGTACGATGACTTAACCCTTGAGTACGATGACTAACCTTGGAGCACGATAACTTAACCCTTGAGTACAATGACAACCCTTGAGTATGATGACTTAACCCTTGAGTACAATGACTTAACCCTTGAGTACGATAATTTAACTTTCGAGTACGATGATACAACCCTTGATTACAATAACAACCCTGAGCACGATGACTTAACCCTGAGTACGATGACTTAACCCTTGAGTACGATGACTTAACCCTTGAGTACAATGACTTAGCCCTTGAGTACGGTGACTACCCTGAATATGACGATTAACTTAGTACGATGACTTAACTTGACTAAAATGATTTAGCCTTGAGTACAACGACTTAACCCTGAGTACAATGACTTAACCCTGAGTACGATAACTTAACTTGAGTACCACGACTCTAGCCCTTGGAGTACCACGACTTAGCCCTTGAGTACAACGACTTAACCCTGAGTACAATGACTTAACCCTTGAGTACAATGACTTAACCCTTGAGTAACTGATAACTTAACCCTTGAGTACCACGACTTAGCCCTTGAGTACAATAACTTAACCCATACAATGACGTAACCCTGAGTACGATAACTTAACCCTTGAGTAACACGACTTAACCCTTGAGTAACACGATCAACCCTTGAGTACAACGACTTAACCCTCGAGTACAACGACTTAACCAATGAGTACGACTTAACCCTTGGAGTACAACGACTTAACCCTTGAGTACGATAACTAACCGCCAAAACTACGACTTAACCCTTGAGTACAACGACTTAACCCTCGAGTACAACGACAACCAATGAGTACCACGACTTAACCCTTGAGGTACGACTTAACCCTTAGTGCAACGACTTAACCCTTGAGTACGATAACAACCCATGAGTACAACGACTTAACCCTTGGGTACAACGACTTAACCCTTGAGTACGATAACAACGCCTGGTACAATGACTTAACCCTTAGGTACCACGACTTAACCCTTGAGTACCACGACTTAACCCTTAGTACCACGACTTAACCCGCCAGGTACCACGACTTAACCCTTGAGTACCACGACTTAACCCTTGAGTACAACGACTTAACCCTTGAGTACCACGACTTAACCCTTGAGTACGCCCGTATATAAGGAATGGGCTCTGAACAGTCTAACCTTAGTGTGACACTGTATGACACTATAATTAACCTTACTTAGCTTATGTCTTTAATTGTGGCACTGTACTCCACAATAAGTAACCCATGACACCACAAAGCTCACTGTAGTATTGTGACCTCCATTTGGCACCATATTATTTCTTGTGGCACCATAACATAAACCCTCAGGCACCATAACACACCCTGAGGCACCATAACACCCTGAGGCACCATAACACAAGCACCATAACCTCTGAGGCACCATACGGCACCACAACACCCTGAGGCACCATAACACAGGCACCATAACACCCTGAAGCACCATAACACTCTGAGGCACCATAACACAGGCACCATAACACCCTGAGGCACACAGGACATAACACCTGAGCACCACTTCTGAGGCACCATAACACAGGCACCACAACACCCTGAGGCACACCATAACACAGGCACCATAACACCCTGAAGCACCATAACACTCTGAGGCACCATAACACAGGCACCTAACACCCTGAAGCACCATAACACACCCTGAGGCACCATAACACAGTGCCATATCACCCTGAGGCACCATAACACCCTGAGGCACCATAGCACTCTGAGGCACACCACCCTGACCACAACACACTCCAGAAGCACCATAACACACACCCTGAGGCACCATAACACACCCTGAGGCACCATAACACACCCTGAAGCACCATAACACACCCTGAGGCACCATATCACAGTGCCATCACCCACAACACCTGTGTTATTTACCTTGGTTCATCACAAACCCTGGCAGCATACTGTACCCCCCAGCTGGACCTGCAGGAGGCGGTGCAGGAGGGAGAGTACGCGGGCGTGGTGTGATGGCGCCACAGTGAGCAGCAATACTGATGGTGGACTGGTGATGGTGGTCCCTCCCTCCCTCCCAAGCTCTGTGTCTACGTTGTGAGGGGAAACTGAACTATATCCTCTCTCTCTCTCTCTCTCTCTCTCTCTCTCTCTCTCTCTCTCTCCATAATTGCACTGAGATTCTACTGTACCTTAATATGGCGTCAGTGTAGTGTATGTTACAGTATAGTGGCGTCAGTGTAGTGTATGTTACAGTATAGTGGCGTCAGTGTAGTGTATGTTACAGTATAGTGGCGTCAGTGTAGTGTATGTTACAGTATAGTGGCGTCAGTGTAGTGTATGTTACAGTATAGTGGCGTCAGTGTAGTGTATGTTACAGTATAGTGGCGTCAGTGTAGTGTATGTTACAGTATGGTAGTGGTGTAGTGTATGTTACAATATAGTGGCGTAATTTGGTATGTTACAGTAGTATAGTGGCGTCAGTTGGTAGTGTATGTTACAGTATAGTGGCGTCGGTGTAGTGTATAGTGGCGTCAGTGTATTTATATTTACAGTATAGTGGCGTCAGTGTAGTGTATGTTACAGTATAGTGGCGTCAGTGTAGTGTATGTTACGGTATAGTGGCGTCAGTGTATGTATGTTACGGTATAGTGGCGTCAGTGTAGTGTATGTTACAGTGTAGTGGCGTCAGTGTAGTAGCATGTTACAGTATAGTGGCGTCAGTGTAGTGTATGTTACAGTATAGTGTCAGTGTAGTGTATGTTACAGTATAGTGTCAGTGTAGTGTATGTTACAGTATAGTGGCGTCAGTGTAGTGTTACACGAAATAGGCGTCAGTGTAGTGTATGTTACAGTATAGTGGCGTCAGTGTAGTGTTGCTGGAGTGAAGGTCAGGTTTAGTTGAGTCTCTCCCTCAATCACCGTAATAAGAGTCCGTTCTCTCTCTCTCTCTTTGATCTATGAATACACGATAAACGATTCCTTTACACACACACACACACACACACACACACACACATTGGTTGACTAGCGTGAGGTTAAATACGTATAGTGGTTAACGTTATAATATGGTGGTGATGGTGGTTAGGTTAGGTTAGATATCCTTCAAGTGGTGAATATTACGATAACTTAACTTTATTCCTAGGCGTCTGTTGACATTGGGTTGGGACAGGGACAGGGTTGGGTTCTCACCTGGTAAAATAAACAGAAGGCGAGGCCCACTGTCTCAGGTGACGCCTAAAGGTCCCTCATGTGGGCACTAACTCACGCCCTAGAGAACGACTACCCACCTCCCCCAACCTACTCTTCAGAACGACCCGCCGCCACCCACAAGAGGAGTGATTCAGGTCCCATGTACTTCACTAGATCCGTCCCCACGTACAGTACACCACTGAGGGTTACTCGTTCACTCCGTCCCCACGTACAGTACACCACTGAGGGTTACTCGTTCACTCCGTCCCCACACAGTACACCACTGAGGGTTACTCGTTCTCCGTCCCCACAGTACACCACTGAGGGTTACTCGTTCCTCCGTCCCCGCGCAGTACACCACTGAGGGTTACTCGTTCACTCCGTCCCCACGTACAGTACACCACTGAGGGTTACTCGTTCACTCCGTCCCCACGTACAGTACACCACTGAGGGTTACTCGTTCACTCCGTCCACACGTACACCAGACCCTCCCCTCACAACCTACACTACACTACCACACTACAGTACACTACTGTACACTACACTACAGTACAGTACACTACAGTACAGTATTGTACACTACACTACAGTATAGTACACTACATTACTGTACATACACTGATACCTTCACTACAATACTACTGTACACTACACTACAATTACTACACTACAGTACACCACTACACTACAGTACACTACACTACAGTACACTACTGTACACTAAACTACACCACAGTACACTACACTACTCTACACTACATTTACACTACAGTACCATACAGTACTACAGTACACTACACTACACTACTCTACAGTACACTACACTACAGTACACTACACTACAGTACACTACACTACAGTACCATACAGTACACTACTGTACACTACTTCTGATACCTACACTACACTACAGTACACTACACTACAGTACTCTACTGTACACTACACTACTCAGTACACTACACTACAGTACAGTACACTACACTACTCTACACTACTTTACACTACACACAGTACAGTACACTACACTACTCTACACTACTCTACACTACACTACACTACAGTACACTACACTACTCTACACTACTTTACACTACACTATACACTACACACAGTACCTTCTCTACACTACAACACTACTACATGCTACACTACAGTACTACACTACACTACACTGCACTACACTACACTACACTACTACACTACACTACAGTACTACACTACTACTTTACTACACACACTTTAATTACCAGTAACTACACTACCAGTACACTACACTACATACAGTTCTCCACTACTAATTTCACTACACTACAGCACTACAATAGTTACAGTACAGTGCAATTACTACAATTACTACACTCACTACGCACAGTACACTACACTACCACTACTACTCTACACTACACTACACTACCTCTCTCACCATTACCAGTACAGTACACTACACTACATTACAACCCGTACACTACAGTACACTACACTGATACACTACTGCACACTACACTACATTACAGTACAGTACACTACACTACACTACTCTACACTACAGCACACTACAACATCACACTACATTACAGTACAGTACACTACACTACACTACACTACACTACCACTGTACACTACTCTACACTACAGTACAGTACAGTACACAGTCACACTCTACACTACAATGATACACACTTACACTACACTACAGTACACTCACCACCACTACAGTTACACTACACTACACTACATTACAGTACAATTACACTACACTACACTACTCTACACTACACTACAGTACCTACCTACACACAACAGTACAGTACAGTACACTACACTACTCTACTACTACACTACACTACACACACTACACTACAAGTACAGTACACTACAGTACACCACTTTACAGTACACTACTACACTACCTGTCACTCTTCACACGTCTCGTTTCTTTCTGCTAGTACCTCAACAGGCGGTGAGGTATCTTTGGACTGGGTACTGTTAGGTAAGGGTTGTCGTCAAGCGAGGGGCTCAGAAGATCAAGTCCCGCTGTCCAACACCAGAGCACAGCATAGTCTATTCTGCTATGTTTACACCAGCAACAGCTGATCAAGTGGTAGCCAGCTGTTGAGGCTTCACCTAATGTACCATGGGAGGAGTGTGGGGAGGAAGGAGTGGGGAGAGTGTGGGGAGGGGGGAGGTGAGGGGGTGGGAGGTGAGGAGGAGGGACCAGTCAAGGTTAATGTAGTCCCTCCTCCCTGAAGCCATATTTCAAGAAGTATCCCTCTATTCCCTCCTCACTCTTAACCTCACACACTTCCTTATTAACAACATATGACTACACGTTACACATCCTGGCCACATCAACATTATACTTGTTCAAAATCCTCTCATCTAATTAGGCAGCTTTGACACACACACACACACACACACACACACACACACACACACACACACACACACACACACACACACACACACACACACACACACACACACACACACACAAAACGATAATTTTGGGTTGGTTCACGCCAACACTAACCAAATGCTGCCATGGTAACTATTCAGGCAATGATAACAAGATCAGGTGTTAAAAAAAACGGTAGCATGAGACAGTCTCCAGCGGTGACTACATTAATATACAATAAAGGCCTCATTAGTACTATATTCACCCTGTCAAGGTAACGGTTCGTGCCAGGAAATAGATGGACTAAGACAACATTTAATGAGATAATACTGTAATAACAACAACAAAATTAAATATATCACAATACATTATTTACATCCATTTATTTCTGTATTTGTTGCAATAATAAAATCAATCAATAACCCACTAACTCCCCTTGCCACCTTTTCCTACCAATTCACTGTCTTCCCGTCATTACGGGGAAGAGGAGTAAAATGGGGGTGGAAAGTGCCTCCCAATCAGTCCCCCCCATGTAATAAAACCAAATGATTTCTGTGTTGGGAGACGGTGAGGTGAGAGGTGATGATGCCACACACACACACACAAGCACGCACACACAAACACACACACACACACACATAATAAGGTTATCTCATGCTCTCACGATCTTCTCAGCCAACCACCTTTCTCAGTGTCATTCTGCTCACCTTCCACATCCTCTCACACCACCACCACCACACTTCATCATCCCCTACCACACCACCACCACCACACTTCGTCATCCCACACCACCACCACCCACACTCTTGTCATCCTCCCACACCACCACCACCACACTTCATCATCCCCACCACACCACCACCACCACACTTCATCATCCCCACCACACCACCACCACCACACTTCCATCATCCACCACCACACCACCACCACCACACACCTCATCATCCCCCACCACACCACCACCACCACACTTCATCATCCCCACCACACCATCACCACCACACTCTGTCATCCCCCACCACACCACCACACTCATCATCCCCCCACCACACCACCACCACCACACTTCCATCCCCCACCACACCACCACCACCACACTCCATCATCCCCCACCACACCACCACCACCACACTCATCATCCTCTAACACACCACCACCACCACACTTCGTCATCCCCACACCACCACCACCACACACTTCATCATCCCTCTACCACACCACCACCACCACACCTCCATCATCCCCACCACACCACCACACTTCCGTCATCCCCCACCACACCACCACCACCACACTTCGTCATCCCCAACCACACCACCACCACCACACTTCGTCATCCCCACCACACCACCACACCGCACTTCATCATCCCCACCACACCACCACCACCACACTTCATCATCCCCACCACACCACCACCACCACCACTCTTCATCATCCCCCATC